CGAGTGATATTGGCCCACAAAAGCTGTCCGTTAAAATTTTTCAAGGCTTTTTGACAATGTCGATGATTGATTTAAATATGCTCACAAGCCATGCGTTTTTTCAGAACAATATTTAATGCTTGAATAAAATATACACTTCTAAACAAATAATCGTAAGAGAAACAATATTCAAATATTCTTGAAAAAACAACTTATACAATAGACCAATCTTGAGTTGTTTTTTATGAATGAGTTTCGCCAGTTGACACATCATTGAACAATCGGTCTTTACTGTTACGTAATAACATAAGCATTGTGACATAAGAAATGTACGGGAAAGTGCACGAATTTGAAAGTCATCCTTATTCTTTTATTGTGTGCACTCGACAGAGATAAGGTGTCAGCTTTCACAGACACAGTTGATGTAGAGGGATTCGTTTTTTCTTTGATTTTGAAACTACTTTGGTAATTTAGCTTTCATTTATCTATTCATTTATTCATTCTTCTCTTGCAACGGAATCTGTGGTCCTGAGTGTTGTTGTTGAAGTATAACCATTATAACTAACGTAACAAATCAAAGAAATTAATTATCATTTACAGTACTACTCACAGTGTCTATGTATTTCACCACCATTTACATATACACTAGTTATTCCTAGTAGCATATAAAACAAAATATTCATTTTAATACTGGTCGGCCACATAAGACTAAGTTACTGCCGTTGTGAGGTGTGTATCTTTAGTGGTGTAACCCAGAGAGATAAGGCATAATTTAAGAATGTGTGGACTGATTTGTGTCTGTATATGCTTACGCCGCATTGCACGATTTTATGTATATCGTCATTATATTTGACCTCAAACAGATCTTATTTATAACAATGATTAAAAAAACCCAGAAAATAACCAACGACAACCACTGAATTACTGGCTCCTGACTTGGGCATGGTACATACATGATATAAGGCGGGATTCATTACGTTTTTGATCTTTCAATCCTTCCCTAACCGAGAACTATGAGGTTACAACATAACATAAGAAAAATCTGTAAAAAGTTGTTGGGAATGATATTAAGATCGACAAGAAGCACAACAAACAATTTACATAAAAACAAAATACCCAAGTACTGATTACAGAGTACTCATAGTTACTGAAAGCAAGTTCAATGCCATTAATAAAGAAATCATGTTTTCCCAAACTGAAATGTATATGTTGTTGAAACCTAAATTTTGGTGATTTTTATACAAATAAACATCTACTTTGAAAGAAAGTATTCAATAGTTCTTCAAAAATTAAGAAAGATTAATCGCAGCTGTATGCCAAATTTGACAACAATCTTTGCCATGGTTCACTTTTAGTAACTTTGACTTTAAGTTTGTTCATGGTAAATTTCCGCTATATATTACTGATTTTGTATTTATTTTAGGTAAACATATCATCAAGGTAACTGTTATAACATTAACGGTACCAATTTGTCGTCACCAGATGCGCATTTCGAAAATAAATGTCGCTTCAAAGATGCTCAAAATATTTGAAAATCCAAAACTTATTAAATAGATGAAGAGCTGTAAACTGTATAGACAGGCAAGCAATTAAAGCTTTGCATATGAGGGAGATGTATTTCTTAATTTAAAATAATTTCCAAAATTTTGTAACAGCACATTTTAATAACACGAAATCCGTATTTTCATGCTAGTACCGAGGTACTTACTACTGGGCTGGTAATGTAAGTATTATTAAATGTATGAATTGAATGACATTTAGACGGGTTTAGTCATAAACTGTGATTCATAACAATACAGGAACAAGTCTGCTAAAACATGAGCGCATTTGGTGTCATAGAAAAACCTGCAACTTGCAGATAAACTTTATAAACAAAAGGTAAATAAATGTTGTCAAGGAGACAATTTGCCGCTTTAACCACACATCACCATTCCAGTAAGTATGTCAAGCATATTTACTTTTTTTCATTATAGAGTTGCAGCAAATACATGTGCAATCAGATTGTTCAAAGGACCATTTGATTATACACAAAAACTTCTGTTTGATAAAATTGTGTGGAAGTATAGCGTAGTGTTTTTAAGGCATAGATGTCAACCGAATTGAAAGTACCATCAAAAGCACGTAATTTATCTAAAACATCCAAAGAGGTTTTTACACTCTAAAATTATTTAATTCCAATATCTTCATTTTTCTTTATTTAGTTTACGTAAGGGAACTTGTTAACAGCACAACAAGGTTAGTAGTGGAACATTTACCAGAAGATGTGACGAAACGATAATTGACGGGTTTTCGTGTAGGTAAGATAGCCATTGCATAGTAGGAAATTTCAAATGTTCGACAAAAGCATTAAACTGAGATATGGCAGTGAAACGATTGTTTACTATTTAATTATCTGTGTATAGCACGGCCCTAAATGTAAAAGTAGTTATGATTTCATTCTTATGAACTTCCGTGCAGTATTTACGTCATACTACCACCACATTGTTATCTGGTTTCTCGCCCGCACAAAACGTTTACAAGAAATTAAAGTTTGGTTTTAATCTTTGAACTGATTGTATTACATTCCCTTTTATTTATTTCTGAATTGTTTTCGAAATGAAATTTGGGAATATCCACAATACTCAGACATTTGTTCAAATACGAATTACGGGACTATTTGGCACTTTTCTACCGTTTACACCATTTTTTACGATAATATGAAATAGCATCTAAATGACCTAACGACATTATTTCCAATTTATTTTGATGGAGGACGATTTATTTAGTCCTTATTCAGAAAGTGTGCAACCTCTCAGTCCTGAACCTTGTTGAGGTTTCCCCAGGTATTCCCCTTGATTGAATTTCCTTTTCCCCACCTCTTTCGCCAAAAACAGTATATTTTTCGCCACTTTCAAAGTTTAAACATAAACATAGTTTTTGTTTAAACTTTTCCTTCTTTCTTACAAAACAAAAATCAGTTTGCAGCATTGTTGTGTTATCAATTATTATTCTAAATATTTATTTTTTAATCTACATTGTAATATATAAACTCTCAATAATAACAAACATTTCCTTTTTTTAAAGATACTGTAAAATTGCAATATAAATGATTTTATCATAAAAAAATTATATTTGATTTCTGGGGACATTAAATTCACCTTCAATAAATTCATCGGATACCCCCCTCCCCTAGTTGTAGGATCAAAAATAAAGTCAGAGATTTTTCTTAATGTTGAACAATTTTCTTCGTAAAAAACAGATTTCCTTTCGGGACCATCGATAAAAGAAAAAGTTGAGACGTAAGACTATGCTTCAAATACATGCGTCACTAAAACGATTGTGAAATTTTCAGATTTATTTACAATAATCTTGATCAAATTTGAAGGATAAAGACTAAAGTTAAAGAATATACTTGCTGTTGAACATTTTTCTTTTCTGGACCAAAGAAGAAGAAAATGAGACGTAAAACTATGCTTCAAACACGTGCGTCACTAAAACGATTGTGAAGTACCCACTTAGATGACACATGACACCATTTAGACACCCAATTTCATAAAACAATACAATCAACACCATTATTAATTAGCCCATTGTTGCGGATACTATAAAATGCAATCGGCTGATTATTGATTTTCTATCAAAACCCTATTGCGTGATGAGTTCAAGGTGAAATCCCGGTATTGTATTGTCAGCAAAAAATAAACAAGATGGACAAAGTCGAACCGCTCCATTTCTTTCTCCAAAGTCTGATGTCAATAATAAATATTAATCGCCACAATTTTAATTCCTTCGCAGCGGAGTATTTCTTGGCCATAGGGATCATACAATTATACAATTCCGACTGTTCCCAGTTTGATCTCGTGTTTATCATTTTGTAACTGAACACCGTTAATATCTCTCAATTGATTTTAGTACCCTACCTTCATATACAAAAAAGTACTTTACCGTGTTTTCAGGCATAGTTTTGTTTTACTGTTCATTCATAGTCGTAAATTATGGAAACGAAGGTATGAACTCATGCACATATCGTGTACTCAAATAAGACCATGATGAACTGTTGAATGACGTCCTCAGCAATCTTTGTAACATTGGAAACTTTTTTTTTCTATACAAAACTGTCACTGTTACGTTGTGTGTTACTGATAAACACTATTATATAGATAAATTTCCAAAAACAAAGGATAAAACATCGGAAAATGTTACAAGTAGGTTCAATGTAAACAAGATGATTTCTGAAAGAGAGGATTGGTTCTCTTATGATAAGGAGAACCCCTGCCCAATATTTCTGTTTGTATTTATTTTTTTCTTTTTACCTATCTGCAAATCCAAAGGGGACTTTAGTTTTGCTTCTCCTCAGAAAGTTTTGAATAGTACTCGTAAGACTTAAAACAATAGGGGGCCTCGGTGGCCGAGTTGTCTAAGTAGTTACTACTGTAATCACTAGCCAGTCAACACTGAGGTTGTGAGTTCGAACCCCGCTCGTGCGGGTGCACTCGACTCCAATCTTAATTGACTAGGATTGTTAGTTTTCCTATCGAAGGTCGGTGGTTTTCTCCGAGCACTCCGGCTTCCTCCACCAATAAAAACTGGCCGCCACGAAATAGCCCAAAAGCGGTGCTTAAAAGTGGCGTTAAAACACCAAAAATCAAATCAAATCTTAAAACAATAATGTTAACTACATTTGATTAAAAAGTACTAATTATCTATTCCCTTAAATGGTAATCGTCAATATAATCACTGAACCTTTTATATTGAAAAAAAACACGTAACGATGCCAACCTAGTCCATAACTCAATCAATTTCATTTTAGTATACATTGTGTACTCATGCGTTCAAAGAAATTATTGCAATAGGTAAAGTTACTACGTTAAAATAAGTAGGTTTCGTGGCGTGTGTGGTCAGAGTTTTGTGAATTTTTTGAAATTCTATAAGTATTTCAATAAATAATATTAGAATAAATAATAAAAATTGTCTATCAATAAGTTAATTCATTTATGAAAGTAATAAGACATTTTTTTCAATGATGTTCAGCTTATAACATTCTAGTTCCATTCTACAACATACAGCGTGTCTAACAAAGGACTTGTAATATTTGATAAGGAAATGTGTCCTCCACAAACTTGTGAAATCATCTGAAAAAAGAAAAGTTTTTAATTGAATTCCTTAATGAGTAAAGAGATAACAAGAGTCATTGAAAAAAACCATTGGCATATATTGGATTTCTGAAATAAAAGAGACGCATTACCATAGGATGGAGCTAAAATAATTTTTTGGACACTCATTCTTCACTTTACTATAACCATCAAATAAAAAAAAAGTTACAAAGAAATAGTATCATATAAAACATGTATAATAAACAAAAACTCATTTACATCACCTTAGCTGTATTTGGGTCCTCAATGCTCTCCAAGCTGTACTTTATTTGGCCTTTTAACTTTTCGATTCGAGAGTTACTGATGAGTCTATTGTAGACTGACGAAACGCGCGTCTGGCGTAAAAAAAATTATTGGATTGCCGTCTGATTGGAGTTAATCCCATATCTCTTTTTATTGATATCATAACGCTTTACCTTCGGATAAGAAAAACATCCATTTTATACTCAAATATAGATCGTTTAATTTGATTTTAATGCAGTTTCATTTTTTTTTTAATAAAAATGTGTAACTCAAAAGATCAAGCCCATATGCAAGACATACTTGACATATTACTAACAGCAGTTTATGCAGTATACCAAAATGCCAGCAGATGAAAAGACTATGATCCTATGCAATTTGCTTGTATAGTGCATTAGATAAGACGATTTGCACAAAATCAATGACAATGTAAACACATTTTCCCTTTATCATCCGTTATGACAAGCAATTCTTATAGTTAACACTCAAAAAATCATTTGAAGGACACTTGCACTTTTTATAAGCGTCCGTATTCTCTTCTTCTTTAAGTCATTTCGATCAACACATCATTCAGTCATGTTCAGTCTTTTAGTCAATTTTCAGACTTCTCCACTACGGTAAATTCAGGACTGTTCAGACAATTTGCTTGCTGTAAATTCAGTACTGTTCAGTAACTTTTCAGAATCCAGTTTGATAGTGATGTCTACAGGTAAATAATAAATATTGAACTGTCTGAACATAGACTGAACATATCTTAAATGACTGCGAGCGTGTTATCCAAACAGTACTAAATTTACTGCAGTGGAAAAGTAAAAAAATTGACAGAAAGACTGAACACAAGCATCAAATTAATTGTCGAAATGCATATCAAGTGCAGTAAAATTGGTAACGTTAATGTTATTATGGAAAACTCAGGCTTTGCAAGTATATTTATACTGTTATGTAAGGAAATTTGATAGAATTCCAGTATGTGTATCGTACCTGTCTATAGTTTTACTTTTCATGGAAGGGAGATAACTGAGATCTTTCGTTTGAATTCATAGGAATTTAAAAAGAAATGTATGTTGTGTCAGTTACCTCAATAACAGTACTGCTGCAGGACACCACTACACCAGCTATACTTTGCAAATCACCATTTATCCACTGAGCGGCTGGTACATAGTTCCAAATGGAAGGACAGTTGTCTTTTATCTATATAATAATTACACAATCAACAAAATGATGAAAAAAAAACCAAACATGCAGACAAACTGATTACTGAATGTATAACCAAAATAAAATAAAATTAACTCCAAGATGATCGAGACCATTTGGCCGGTTGTGTCGACAGGATAAGAGTCTTCAGCTAGACCGGCGTCTCTGGTTATTTGTATCCCAACTCAGACAAACGGGAATAAGACACGAGCGGCAAATTTATTGATCAGACAATAATGCTACGATAAAATCTAAAACTACCATGAGTTCACACGAAACTTATAAGAAATGGTAACTGAGTAAACTTCTTACTATTTCAGCCGTTTACCTCATGGAAAGTACATTAAAAGCATTTCCATGTTAACGTAGACTGTATCCTGCAAATACGTAAAGTATAAAAAAGTATAACAAAAATTCCGATCTCCAAGGCAAATTAAAAAGTCCGTAAAAACTGAACAAATCAAACACTATCAATCAACGAAACAAGTGAAAAACCACTGTCATAATCTTGACTTGGTGGTACAGGCTTCAACTGAGAGATATGTTTACACTTTGAAAAAGGGGCTAAGGATGTGTTGGTATTGATATATGGGAAGTTGAAAAGATGAAATCGCATGCTTTTCATAGATTCTAGTCTGGACTCGCTAATCTGCCTTTGGCTGTCAAAACGTTTGGTATCGAGCGTATCTGGTGAATGTTTATGCAAAAAAAGTAAAATAACAAAAATACCGCACTCTAATGAAAATTCAAATAGGAAAGTCCTTTATCAAAAAGCAAAATCAAAAGCTAAAACACATCAAACGAATGGAAAATAAGACGCTTACGTAGACTTACAGCTAAATACAATTTGGAAAAAGATATATTGATAGCGAGAACATAAACATATTTTTGGCATCTGTTATCCCAGCTTTCAACAAATAGATTAATATATGAAACATGCAAAATCAAATATATCTGAAAAATAAGAAAATCTTACCTCTGGACGTTTTCTCTTAAGATATATTTGTCTAAAGCATATATATTTATTTGGTTCATTCAACAATCATGTATATGGCGTTGCATCCAAAGAGAAATTAAAAGATACTCTTGTTTTGACCTTTTAACTTTTTAGGTCGAGCGTCACTGATGAGTCTTTTGTATACGAAACGCTCGCATGGCGTACAAAATTATAAGCCTAGTATCTTTAATGAGTTATTTGTTCAACAGAAACAGCTTACATTCAAAATCAAATCTTTGTATCTGTGAAAGAATCTAGTAAAAGAGAGGCGAAGGATACCAAAGGGACATTCAAACCCATAAGTCGAACAACAGTACACAAAACAACATAGAAAACCAAAGATCGAACAACAAGAACCCCACAAAAAACTGGGGGTGATACTAAATAGTAAAAGTTTTAAGTAAGGTGTGTAAACGAAAACCCTGACTTCAATACTAGTAAATTAAAAGTTACGTTCAATGAAATCTGAAACGGTACTATAGACATGAGCTTAGCCAACGAGTAAGGAAATCCGTAATAACGAATCAAAGGATCGTCACCATCCATAAAAGGAAAATAAACAATAGGGGACAGAACCTCATCTCTTTTGTAGTAAATTTTTTGTTTTGATTTCCCGTGTAGAACTGAGATATCCAAATAAAGAAAAGGAATATATCGCTGCTGATATAAGTTAATTTAAAGTAAATTCTCTTTAGTAAATTTCCGCAGTACAATTAGAGACTTCTTGATTATTTAGAGTATAAATATCATCAAGGTGACGTTAAGTGTTATTAATTTCATCCATTCAATGAAATTAAGACGGATCTTTACTATGTTTTGCCAGTACTTGAATATAAACATAATTGAAGTTTGTTTTTAATACTTGAAATTTACGTATAAAAACTTAAAATTGGCGTATATCCACAATACTCAGAAAATTGGCGTATATCCACAATACTCAGACATTTAATCAAATAGAAATCAACCGACTTTCTGTTAGATTTTTTATGTTAAGGTAACTTGTTATAACATAGCCATATGGATCATATTTTAACTTCGATGTTTTACAGTCTCGTGACGAAAGAGCATTATTTTCTATACGGACGTCTTATGTAAATGACGTACAATTAGAAATTAAACTTCTAATGGGTTTCTTATACCTATAAGAAATTAAAGGTGGTTCTATGTTATCAAAATAGGGAGGTATAAAGTTTTGAACGATAAAGTCATTTAAATACTACATAAATTGATAAATCAAAACCTGTTGTATTAGCTTTTTAGAAAATTTCTAATATGATATTTCGGGTTGTCGATACGAGATAACAGCCTATGGTGGCAAAAATGTATGACACGCCCTCACTTATATACTGAAACACGACAAAAAAAATTTAACGAAGCATAGTGAAAGGTCTGATTCTAACGAGAATGTCTTGTATTTATAGTGTCAATATTTCTTGGCGTTTTTCCTATTCTCAATTCCAAAATGTACTCAGCATACATGTGTATCAGTGAAATCAATATATTTTGATACAGCTTTAAATGATTGATTGTTTTTGATGAGTGTTTCTTTTCGTATTGTTACTTACTGGAATTGATTGTGTATCCTGGTTTATTCAAGGATCCACTGATTAGTGATGTTTGACATTGGGGAATTCCAAATATATGCCTGTGTTGTAATTAGTATCATGAATAAGTTTTAGTGTAAAATGTCAGACGCATGCATTTTATTTTACAACCGTACGAAAAAATATCACTTACTTGGATCCCTTTTTGCCATTCTGATCGAGAAGGAGCTTTACAATGTTTCATTACGAGCGCATTAGCAGATTTACCGGAACACTCAACTGCACCATTCATATGTACACTTTGTCCGGAAGCTAGATCCATGAGAAGGTCTAGTTTGTTACATAAACGTTCTGAAATATTCAACCACATCATATTATCAAACTATGAAAATGGATCATTTTCGTATAGTAATTTATTTTTCATTAAACCAGAAATATTCGATGATCTACATAATTATAACTAATATTTGGGATTCTTTTTATTACTATTTAGCATAGTTTATTATTTTACTGTGTAAATGTTATCCTTATGATTATAGGCTAACAGACAGACTATTTAATAATCATCAACATAAAAATTGTCATAAACGCTAAAAAGACAGACGAATGCAAAACTCGGCTCATTTTGACCCATTTTGTATAATAAAATGTTTTCATCTTAGAACCACTATATTTCTTCTTTATAAACAGTAGTTTTATTTTGCGTTAGTTTGGTAAATTGGCCAGCTACCCAGCTTCCTCAGACCGTAGAAATAACATGGATCCAGGAAAGTTAAAAATAATACTAATTTCAATGATATAAAACTGAACAGAAACAACAAGAAACAATTCGAAGATTCTTGTGGAATTTGAAAGCTGTTTTAGATTTAACAACTCTAATTTACAATATCAAGGGACAGGGTCACATAGCTACAAGTTCCTTTATTAATAACATGAATATTGTGGACAACATGGACAAACAACAACGTTATCATAGGTCTGATTGCAAACTTATCAATCGTTATAAAAAAAAATAACATCAAACTTATTTTACACTTATTCATCTTTAAGAATGATGGAAGACATCAACTACTAGCAAACTGGGTGAAAACACAAATAAAATTTACATAATATTTTGAAAGAGTGGGATAAAATATTGTTTTTCAGTCAACCTTATCAGTGTAAGGGTACCATCAGAGCTTTTTGTCACCGTGGGCTGTTCCCTTGGATAAACCTCACGCTCATGAAATAATTAGAGGTATGAATCATCTACATTCTATAAGGAGTTGTGGTATCATTGCAAATGAAACAACTATCCAACATCTAACAGTTTTGATAAATTACATGCTTTTGGTAGTCCTTTTAAATGTTTCAATTCGGTTGCAGTTGACATTTTATTTCTTTTTGACTTTATATAATGAACTTCTTCAGAATCAAATCAAGCAGGAGTTTTTATAACATTTTAAAAGGTGGTTCTTTGAAAAATCTGATTGCACATTTGTTTCTTACTCATGTTGTAACTCATACTGTAAATCATATAAAGCTTACATGTAACTCATGTTGCAACTCATATAAGCTAACATGTTAATCATGTTGCAACTCATACAAAGCTAACATGTAACTCATGTTGCAACTCAAACAAAGCTAACTATGCTAGATACAGTTACTTGAACTGTGATTAGTTGAATCAAGCTGTAATTTTTCTCATTGTCACCTCTCTATAGGTTTTGGCAATACAGTTTATCGACAGGCTGTAGGTTTTCTTTATCACCAATATCGCCATTTACGGCCAACTGCGCTAAGGAACCGTCTCTTTATATAAGAAAAACCCACTTATTCTTACCTTGATGATATTTTTCCTTCAGATAATCAACAGTTCTCTTATTTTAGAACGAAAATTAACCAAATGAAACTGACTTTGAATAAATTTGATGTAAAGCCCAGTATGTCTGCTTTTCTAGATTAACTGTTTTTTTTAATAATAATGATTAGAGTGAATTTTTGTTTTCGGTGATTATATCTGGGCCACATTAGCCCGCAAGATACTTCTCCTTTACATTTCATTGATAAAACCGATATATATGTACCAAATAGCCCCCCAAAGATAAAATGTCGTAAAAATTTAGCAAATACATGAATCTATTTGTAAGTTTGAAATCGAAAAAGCATTTCGTTAAGACATTTTGGGAGTGTCTGTAATTCCATGACAAATACAATATTTAAAACTGTTTACCGTTCCCGAAAAACCAAAACTACCTATATCATGTCTTTTTCATAAGTTTTAATTGGTTTGATCAAACGTATAGTGTTCGTATAGGATTTGAATATTAGATTACTAAATATATATATGGGTGCTAAATATTTAAGATATTTTCAGCTGACAACTTTTGAACAACTTTCGGCGTTAAAAATATTAGTGTATCATCGATATGATTAAATTTAGCGTTATTTTTCTTTGTTGAATTTGGAAGTAGACTTTTTCAAGAAATTGTCGGCATTCCTTTGGAAACGAACTTTGTGCCTCTCCTTGCCGACCCTTCTTATTTTCATATGAGTCGAAGTTCCTTCAGACACTTAATTTCACATTCAGATATATTGATGATGTTCTTTCCATTAACAATCCAAACTTTTTTGATTGGATTCCATTAATATTTCCTCTAGAACTAGAAACTAAAGAAATAACAGATACGGCATCCTCCGCCTCATTTTTAGTCTTTGACATAATCGGTCATCACAGTACCAGAATCTATGACAAACGAGACGATTTTAATTTAATAATTATAAATTTCCCCACCTTAGCAGCAATATACCAACTTCACTTGCATATTGGAAAAAGTAAAATAACAAAAATACTGAACTCCAAGGAAATTCAAAACGGAAAGTTCTTTATCTAATGACAAAATCAAAAGCTCAAACACATCAAACGAATGGAAAACAACTGTCATATTCCTGAATTGGTACAGGCATTTCCTTATGTAGAAAATGGTTGATTAAACCTGGTTTTATAGCTAGCTAAATCTCTCACTTGAATGATATTATATTGACAACAATGTATGAGCAAAACAAACATACATAGTTCGACTGTTTTCTGCTCTTTGTTCGGGTTGTTGTCTCTTTTACACATTCCCCATTTCCATTCTCAATTTTATAATAGCTAAAAATGTCAAAAATTGGGGTACAGCAGTCAACATTGTTTTAAAATCTTTATCAGTATAAAAACAAATAACTATTTATATTTCCCAACTCCTTCGATATTCAAGAGATTGCAGCTGCTACTCAGACTTTATAAAACGTCAACAGTGTTTGAGCAGAAAGTTGATGAACCAAGGTTATGTTAAAGAACGTCTCGTCCTTTTTCTAAACAAAATTTCATCTGAAGATACCAACACCTTATCTTCCGTATCAACTTCATAAATAATACATGATGGTCTTTAAGTATAGATTCTGGGTACTGATATTGTTTATCATCTTAATTACGTGTTATAGTGCTCTTTTAATTTGTCGTTGTATACTTTTAACCTTTACTATTTAGTCCATTTTTTTTAATATACTTTTGGGATGGCTCTGAATTTATACGTCCCATCATTGTGCTATTGTGCAATGGTCATTTTTGTATTCTTGTATTTTATTTTTCCTTATGTACTTTGACTATAGAGTGGCTATATGCCATTTTGTTTCTCTTTGTTGTTATAGTTATTTGTTTTTAAAGTGATTAAGATTATACACAATGTTGACAGTTGTACCCCAATTTTTGACATTTTTACCTATTAATATGTCTATTTGTTTTGCTCACACATTGTTGTCAATATAATGGAAGAGGTTTAGCTAGCTAGTTTAATCAACCATTTTTTTACATAAAGAAATGCCTGTATCAAGTTAGGAATATGACAGTTGTTTTCCATTCGTTTGATATATCTAAGCTTTTGATTTTGCCATTTAATACCACATCTTCTTATTTTTATACTAAAACTGATAGCCAAGTCCATCTAAGGTCAACTTTGTCTAAGGGAGCTAAAACTTTAGTTTCTCAATAATTTTTAAATTCATACACGAACAATTTAAAAAAAATAGACAGACACGTACTTGAGCGTTTTCCGTGAGGTCCAAAAGGTAACAGTGCTGAAATGAGTAGAATAATATACATATTGATCTCTTAAGTCAGTAAAACATTATAGCGGACTGAACACAATCATATCTTCACATATAAAGAAGATGTTTTATTATTTTCACTGGATTTCATATAACATAATATATGAAGCAAACATTCCGGTTATAAACTATGTAAATGTTTTGTACCTGTTGTTGATGTAGCAATGCAACATGCCGTACTGTCGGCCTATTTTCGTTTGTGAAATAACTGAATAAGACTTAATAGCAGATTTAAAATTGTAATCAATAACACGCTGAAAGACATAAGAGAAGCTCGAATTTCTAGCCTTAAGGAGCACACAAATTCACATAATTGCACCAAAGATTTATGGTGTGGTTCGTATTGCTTAATCTTGATTTTTTTGTGAAGTGTTTTGTTAGCTCATGTTCACCTTTTTTTACTTTTTGCCACTTTATGTTGTTATCTGGTTTTCTTCAATCTATAGAATTTCTAATTCCTATTCGATATATTCTTTCTAAAAGAGAGACGAAAGATACCAGAGGGACAGTCAATCTCATAGATCGAAAACAAACTGACAACGCCATGGCCAAAAATAAAAAGATAAACAGACAAATAATAGTACAGATGACACAACATAGAACTAAAGACTAAGCAACACGAACCCCACCAAAAACTGGGGGTGATCTCAGGTGCTCCGGAAGGGTAAGCATATCCTGCTCCACATGTGGAACCCGTCGTGTTGCTTATGTTATTACAAATCCGGTAAATAGTCTAATTCGGTAAGTCACATTCGTGAAAAGGGAAGGGTATTGTAGTTACGACATAAGGAACATATCCGATATCATCTGTGAAACGGTTATTCCATAACGGTCAACCAACTCGTGATGGCGTCCGTAAAATTTACGAAGGGATGATTTCAACATCACCATTTGGAACTCTTGGTTTAATAGCTTCCTTGTGAGCAGCAATCCTCTATCAAGGAAATCATGATAGGAAACACAAGCCCGGGAATATCGTATCAATTGGGAGATATATACTCCGTATGCAGGCGCTGCTGGAATGTTGCTACATAGAAATGGAAAGTTCACAATTGGGAAGCTGATATCATCTCTTTTGTCGTCAAGTTTTGTTTTCAACCGACCCTCATTGTCAATTTCTAGATGTAAGTCAAGATATGAGGCAGACTTAATTGTATCTGTAGTATCCTTTATCTCTAGTTCGATGGGATAGATTCGTTCAACATAGTCACCAAATTTTGTATTATTTAGTGAGAGAACATCATCTATATAGCGGAACGAAGAGTTAAAGGATATTGCTAACGTCTTATCTTTCTTCCTTAGAAGTTCCTGTATGAAGTCAGCCTCATAATAATAAAGAAACAAGTCGGCAAGAAGAGGGGCACAATTGGTTCCCATTGGAATTCCGACAGTCTGTTGAAAAACACGTCCTCCAAATGTAACAAATATGTTGTCAATCAAGAAATCAAGCATCTTGATAATGTCAGTTTCAGAGAATTTTTTGTTTGAATCAGAGTGATTCTTTACAAAGTAGGATTTATCCCTCCCCAAGACAAGACACTTGTATCTACGTTCGCCATTCTTTTTAATGAAACAAAGTAATACCAACTCTTTCAATTTGTCTTTTAGTTTGGAATGGGGAATACTTGTGTAAAGTGTGGAAAAGTCAAATGTTTTAATACTGTTGCAAGATGAGAGAATCTTAGATTGTATGTACTCTAAAAGATCTTTGGAATTTTTTAGTATCCACATCTGATTCACGCCACCTCTAGAATAGGCAGATTCACAATAACTTTGGAGCCCGGCTTTGATTGCTGATAAAATAGATGTTAATAATTTAGAAATAGGTTTCGTGGAGCACTTGGAAAAACCCAGCAATATACCATTGTTTGTAAGGACACTTATGTAGTTTAGGTATCCAATACAGTGATGGAAGATCCAGTTCTTCATCTTTGGTTGAAATTCCAAAGGAACATAGAACAGACCTATGATTATCCAGGATTTCCTCTTTGGTAAGTGTTGTGAGGGTATATGTTAAGTTTCCAAGTGAATTGTCAATACCTAATTCATTTATCAAGCAGTTTATGTAATGATATTTGCACACAAAAACGATGTTGTTTGGGGCTTTATCTGCGGGGACAACAACATATTTGTCATGGAGGTAGGGTAAGTGTTTTGCAACATTTGGGTCTTTAAAAATTGATGTTGCGTGGGTATTGATATGCCCATTTAGTTTCCTAATTCGGATTTGTATCAACGACCTCATAGCCTTAATCCATTCGGAAAGAGTATCTACGTCTTCTTTCTCGCGTTAAGCCCATTGCCTGGCATAATCCTCGACTGAATCCATCAGTATTTTGAAGTTGTATTTCCAATTGATGGATTTAGGCTCACGATATTTCGGACCTTTGGATAACAAATTTCGCAGGGAAGTGTTATTAACAATGTTGAGGTCTCCGGTAATAACGTGGCCAGCCGGATTATGTGTGAATTGGGAACTAGCACAGGTGCATCAGGAGGTTTAGACTTGAAGTCGTCAATGTTGAGATCCTGCAAAACGTGTTTGTAATAAATCTCTTACGACATAAACGCTTCATTTTGTTTGAAGTTGATACTCTTGAATATTATAAGAAATTGAAAAGATGAGATACTGTTTTAACTACAAAAAAACCTTCACGCACTTGAAACAAAATTAACTAATATTCTTTATAACAAAGTGATAGTGATGACTTCGACTCGGAGAAAAACTTCATATATAACTTGAAGTTTCGGACGTCCCTGGAAGTGGTTTGAGCCAAATTCTGCGGAATGCAGCGCTTTATATCGATATCACTTGTAGCTGAAACTAGTAGTATTTCGTCAATCAAAAAGATCAAAAGAAATATTATATATCAAAGAAGATATCTCAATAATTAATCATCTTTAACTGTAAAAAAATGAAAGCACAACTGTCAATCATATATAGATTTCAAATCTTTAATTAATTCACACAAGACGTATTCTGTTTGTGTTGTATAAAATTTTGTTCATATACCTTTATGTTATGATATATAATATATGTAAGACAAAGGTGAATTGAAAAAAAACTTGACAAATTAAACAAACAACCAAAACGAAAAGAAAATCTTGAAATCTGTGTTGACTTATATGACTATTTGATTACAGATACTAGGCTTATAGTATTGTACGCTAGCTGCATTTTCCAACTGAAATCAATTTTTGTGTGAAATTGATCTCAAAGTATTAAAATGTACAACAAAAGGGAACGCCAGTGACGCGAATATCTCAACAGGAAAATACTTGCATTTAAATATTTCTTGTCACTTTTTTGTAGGAAATTTGAATACTGACAAGACCACGTTTTCACCCCTTGAATTTGAAAAAAAACCACAATAGTATGTCGGCTTCATTGTCTAAGTGATTGTTAGTATTTTGATTGTACGTATACTTAGATAAATGAAAGTAGCATTCTGCTATTGGCTTCATTTAGACCGTTGTCAACCAATCACAACTTTGAAAATATTAACCGGGATGAAAAGATATTTCTTTTAATTTGTATTTGACTTAAATATCAAAAGTAGAACGGCAAACTTCAGTCACCAACTTAAGAAATGTCAAATATTGCCTAATTATTTTTAACTTGTTATTGATTGTTGGATATGAACAAAATCCTTTTTCAAAAAGATTTTTTGTTACAAGATGTATAATACAAAGATGTTAATGTTGGTCAAGTATCCGATGGAGTGAGGCTTTGGTTCTTGTCTAATATAGCAAAAACTATATTTAAAATTGTATATATGGTGAACGTTTGTGTCAAAAAGGAAAATTCCCAAATATACATGATGTCATACAATGTCATATCAGCAGCACAGCTCTCATTTCCACACAGACATTTTCATTCAAGAATTAAAAAAACTTTTGTGACAAAATTGAAATACAACTATTATGTTCATCACAGGGTACTATTGATAGAGGTGTATTGCAACAATTTTGAGGAATATATCTATATATAATATTACATGAGCTTGCGTTTTAATTTTTCAAAGAAATCGATATAAAATATTTGATGCTATATTATAATGTTTGTTATCAAACATCCTCTAATTCTCATTAAAATAAATAAATATTTTCAATTGTGCAGTTCCCGAGTGTGTTAAACAAAGACTGATTATAGATGCCTAGCTTACAATTGTGAACAGTAAGGCTAAGGCGATTTCACTATTGGGTTCTTCCGTGCAACGAACAAACTATTAATATACGTACAATTCATTATGAAATATTAGTTTAATCTTTCCCGGCAACCACCCGTCCACATACAGGTAGACATTTGTTTAGAAGTCTTTAAAAATTGAAGTAGATACATAAGGAAGGTAGATTTTGACATGCTGAGCATTGTTATTCCCCGTCAAATATCATTTTTATACATTTTAAACTCATTTTTGTATCTTCAGTGAGTTGGGTCGCAACTTTTAAAAGGTAAGACACTTCAAGTTACACTAATAAGGATTTTGACTTAGATATATTTAGAAATTGATCAAATACAGATCATTTGAAAATTCTCGATAGTGAAAGAAAGGATCTTATGGACATTGTTAAATATAATAAACTATCTCGAAAACCGTATATCACTTCAGCTTATGGATTTTACTCTTAAAAAGTCAATCAGATGTGAACGGGGTCATTATGTTTTATCGCATATGACTGATGTTCAGACTCCAGAAACTATACAACTTAGAAAATAAGTTATGTTACCGTACATCTTCCCTTTATAATTATTTGACTGGAAGCGTTTTTGAAGAAGTAAATTCAGAAAAAAGTTTTTTATAAAATGTTATGTCTTTCATTAATACATGATCATTTTACAACTTGTTTTTAAAATATTTATATGTACTCATTTTGTTTGATTATAAATAACTGACTTACGTCGAGCTCCAGTTGTTGCTGTAAAAATGTCATGCAAATATAAATAGTTATTAGTATATTTATTCTTTGATCAATCCCTGATTGCAGTTTTATTAAAGCAGAAAAAACACACATTTTAAAGATGAAATAAAGATACGAAAAAATTGAATTATAGTATTCCTAAGAATAGTTTATTAACCTCTTGACAACAATTTCGACAGATCGAGAAAACGCAGTTTAAAATTATATAATTAGAATCTCTGAAACTAAGTTGAGTAGTAGCAGAATTAAAAATATTTTCAACAACCAAGATGTTTAGCGCAAAAACAGGTATCTTTTACTTGAAAAAGAAGGGTATCAATGCCCGTATATAGCCAGAGAATATGAAGTCTTTAATAACTACAATCTACAAATAATATAGAGAAAATTAAAAACTTTAAATAAAATGAGTATGTCAATAACTTCAATGTTTTTTGCGTTATTATTCGAACGTATTTAACAAAATTAAAACTATTGATTATATGTTCTTTAATTTTCGGAATGCTGAATACAAGAAATAAGAAAATTTAGAGATACTTTCTCAACTCATAAGCGACATGTTTACC